GATATTGTATCTTGGCCCTTTTCAGGACTTTATTGACAAAGTACACTGGTATTTCTCCTTCCTCTCCTTCTTGTACGATAATAGAGCTCATGGCCTTATCGGATACAGATAAATACAATACCATGGGTGTATTTTCCTTAGGTATTACCAATATGGGAGGTGAAGATAAGAAGAGGTTTACACCTTGAAAAGCCTCTTCACAGGATGTTGTCCATTCGAACTCTACTGACTTTTTTATGGCTGCAAAGAAGTGGATTGATTTGTTCCCTACACAAGATAGGAAACGAGATAAGGAGGTCAACCTTCCCGTCAATTGTTGGACCTCCTTTTTGGAAGACAGACTTCTCATGTTTATGATTGCCTAACATTTATCGGGATTGGCTTCTATTCCTTGGTTAGTGAGTATGAACCCAAGGAACTTACCAGCTTGTATCCTGAAGGTGCATTTGTCCAGGTTCAACCTCAATTTATAGCTTCTTATTGAGGCGAATGTTTTTGACAGATCTTTGATGTGGTGTTATTCTCCCTCCGTTTTGACGACCATGTCGTCGACATATACCTCCAAGTTCCTACTAATTTACGTAGCAAAGACTCTGCCTATCAGTCTCTGGTAGGTGACCCATGCGTTTTTGAGAGTGAATGGCATCACGTAATAATAATAATAATTATTTTGGTTGGTCATGAAGGTTGTTTTAGAGGCGTCTAGAGGACTTATCCGAATTTGGTTATACCTGGAGTAAGCATCCATGAAGCTGAGTAGCCTGAACCCTGAAGCTTCATCTATGAGGCGGTCGATGTGTGGTAACGGGTATGGATCCTTTGGACATTTTATGTTGAGTTCATGAAGTCAACACACATTTTTCACTTCCCTGGTTTCTTCTTGACCATCACCATGTTGAATAATCAAGTCGGATACTTAATTTCCTTGATGAACTTGACTTGTAGTTATTTCTCGACTTCCTCCATAATAACTTTTCTTTTTTTCTTCGCCCCATTTCCGCTTCCTCTGTGATATTGGCTTTACATCTGGATCCAATGCTAGGTGGTGACACATAATGTTGGGATCAATCTCTGGCATGTCTGAAGGTTTCTAGGAGAACATGTCCACATTTTTCTTTAGGATTGTGATGATTTCTTCCTCTTCTGCTGGAGATAAGTTGGCTCGGCTATGTATGGTCTCGGAGGGAAGATAACCAATTTGGACATCTTTAGTTTCTTCATTTGGTGTTAAACTATCCTTGATTGGGTTGTTCCCGAGATATATGTCTACTAGATGGACTTTGAGGTCGTTGGACTGTTTGGCTCCCCCTGGTGGAATCTTTTTCTTTAGCTTCAGGCTATCTTTGTAGCATTTTCTTGCTAGACCCTAATCTCCCTTGACTATTCCAACCATACCTTCTCCCAACGGGTATTTCATGGTGAGGTACAAGGTTGAAAGTGTTGCTTCTAAGGCTTTTAAAGATGGTCTGCCTATGATGATGTTGTAAGGGGAGGTTGCATTGAAGATTAAATATATCACCCTCCCTATCTTAGCATTCGTCGCGTTGCCAAAGGTGGTTAGCAATGACATGTGCCCGAGCACGTGGAGTTGTTTTCCTAAGAATCCAATGAGGCTGCCTTTAAGCGGTAGCAAATCGGTTGTATCGAAGTTTATTCCTTTGAAAGCATCCCAATACAGCACATCAGTTGAACTCTCAGGGTCCACCAGCACCCACTTTAGACTTCAATCTCAGATCTGCACTTTTATCACCATAAGATCGTTCTCATGGGTTAGGACTCTGATGACATCCCGTTTTGAAAAGTTGACAGAATCTAGGTCGCTTTTCCGATCTTCAAAATATTATTAGGTGATGTACATCACATCCCGGGCATACCTTTTTCTGGCCGAACTAGTTTCTCGGCCTCCAACGAATCCGCCGACAATTGTGTTAAGTGTATGTCGAGTTGTCTTTGTTTCGTGCTCTTTGTCGCTATCTCTTCCTTTTTTATGCAAAGATTTTTCTGAGTTGGGTTCGTCTCTCCGGGGACTTCTTTTCCTGGATTGTGACTTAGAGTCCTTCACATATGTTAAGAGATGTCCTCTCTGTATCAGTACTTCGATCTCTTTTTTGAGTTGATGGCAGTCGTCAGTATGATGACCCCAGAGTCGGTGATAGTTGCACCAAGCCCCAGTGTCTTTCCCCAATATGACATTTACCTTTCTTGGGCGTCCCATCTCAAGTATCAGATTTAGATGGCCTACCCCTTTTAGGATAATTCCTATTTTGGTATTTAGCAGCGTTAGGTCCTCCTCAGAGTCGAAGGGTCACCGGTTTGGCCTTGGTGCGGGTCGGACATGCGAAATGATCCAAAGATGTTCTTTTTTACGTCTTGACCCCTCCTCTTTACTTTTCATTTTCTTGGCGGTGTCTCTAGATAACTTCTCCCAATTACTTTCCTCGCCTTTGATGTAGCATTCAGTCCTGGTGATAACTTCATCCATGATGGACGCCGGCTTCTGTGCCAGAGACTCATTGAATTGTTCGGCTTGGAGATCGTGTTGGATGCTCCAACGAACAATTCTTGGTTGGGGTGTGAAACCTTAATGGGTTCCTCATTGAATTTGGCCAGGTATTCCCGTAGGGATTCCACATGTCCTTATCGGATGTTGAACATGGTTGTTGTTGAAACCTTCCGATGTCTGTTTGCCGAGAAGTGTTGTACCAATTTCTTGGTCAAATCTTGATAGCTCACCACGGATAATCGGGGAAGGCTCATGTACCATCTAAGAGTTAGGTCTTTGAAAGTACCTGCCATGAGTTTATATTTTAACGTGTCGGAGGGCCCTATTATCGTCATTGGTTGTTGACGATGATGATGTGCTCCTGGGGGTTGGTTTTGCCATCAAAAGATGTGAGTGACCGTGACTTGAAGTTTTCGGGGACTTGGTCGTCCCATATCACTTGCGAGAGAGGCTAGGGATCAAGAATCTCCTCTTCCTGCTCCCCGTCTTCTATGCTTTGCAGTTGTAGGATTTGCACGACATCCTGCAGCTTTTCGTTCTATTATCGAAAAGCCTCCACCATGGCCAGCAGTTGCGCCATGTCCGGAGGGTCCCCTTCAGAGGACATTACTACGAATGTTATGTGTGGCCTTGGAAAGTCTAATTGAGGCCCCAGGATGGACGCCAAATATTCTTGCGAAAAATACTAAACTGAGTAACTTCCTTGTAGGGACAAGGAGAGCCGCAATATGGTAGATTTGTGTATGATTCTAGGGGATTTGGGTGCTACAACGATAATATGTATTGACCCAAGAATGAATGTTTTGCTTATCCCTCTGTAGGGAGCCCCTTTTTATAGTCTTTTCCATGCTCTTTTAAGAGCCTCATTTAAGAGATGACTTTTTGGCTTCTGAACCGTATAACGGCCGCCGTCAACCATAAATAGGAGTACTCAAGATAGCATAACGTTTACATTGATGAGCCGACAACTGTTCCAATTTAGACTGAGCCGACCTCGTAGCCGGCTTTGGGCCGTTGTGTATCGACCCTGGTTATTCTCCGATTTATTGCCCTAGATGGGCTATTAATCAGGTGTAATGTTCGTCGGCCTTCGACCGTAGCCGAGTTAATACCCGGTCATGTTTATCATATGTCTACGCGGTCGATATACCCATTATGTCCTCTTCTCTGATGACTTTATGATCTGGTTTAACATTAATATTTTTCGGAATGTACAGATTGTATGTGCACTACCTTTAAACTCTTAAAACATATTACAATCATACCATTAAAACTATTAGATCTCACAATGGACCTGAATTTCTTATGCCTATATTTTACACTTCATGTATAAGATGCAATTTCTTCGAGTGCAAGCAACATTGAAGAATCACTTTGACATGTGCTTGAATATGCTGACCATAATAACTAAACTGTTAGTTATAACAGTTAAGAAGTTCTTAGAGATTAGAATCCAATAAAAGCAGTTCTTAGAGATTAGAATCCAATAAAAGCTAGTGCAATGTAGATAGTATAGACCTTACTTGTACTATAAGTAACAGTTGTGTTCACCATTTACAATCAATAAAATTGAAATTACACCAATTCGTCTTGTTCATAATACTTCAAAAGTTATTTTTCATCAAATTAGTTGTGTTGAATTCCCTCAACAAAATGATAGAGTAGATGTTGAGAATCAAGTGTGAGAAAAAAGTCTCACATTGATTAAAAAATGAAAGATTGATCACTTTATAAGTGAGAGAATCCACACACATATCACTTTAAAATTTTAGGTGAATATGTAGTGTCTCTCTCACTTGTGTGTTGCTCATAACCAATAGGAGTGAAGGGATCGACTTATACATTATCAACTAAGACTTATAGTCTCTTCCCAAAAATAAACCCCCTCATGAAATGTTACATAATAGTGACCTTGATTTTCATTCTTTAAAAGTTTTTGGATCTTTAACTTTCCACCCACTCTACATTCGCACATAACTTAATTTGAACCATATGTCAGAAAATGTGTCTTGTCAGACTACAAGAATGGTGTCAAAGGGGTTGTTCATTTATACAGTATATCAACACCAGAGACAATTTTATATCTAGAAACATCCGTCATTATGAGCATATTTTCTTATAATTCATCCCAACCTTTGGACTTACATTTGATATCCCCGCTGTACCTGGTCAATTCACCCTTCTTGATCATACACTTGTTAGATACTTTTCAAGTCTTACAATTACTCTAACCAGAAACAGACCAACTTTCCCGAACTTTAAGTGTACCTTGTACTATTTTTCAATTTTTTTTAATATTATATTTTCAGCAAATTTATTATTAATATCCTTTAAATTCATACTTTATATGCAATTAATATTTCAAATCATTTATGCATGAGAATATGATAGGAAAAACAAAACCACCAAGGTTGAAATTGAATTAAAATCTCAAATGAAAGAATAAGGATTGTTTGTTCCAAAGATAATCAACAATGAACCATAAAGCACGTGAATATTATGTTATTCTCATACTGGGCTGAAATCCATTCACTGTTAGTCCTCCATCAACACAAATAACCTGCCCTGTGATGTAAGATGCAGCCGGAAGACAAAGGAAAGCGACCAAGGATGAAACTTCTTGAGCTTCTGCGATGCGTCCAAGAGGAGTTCGAGACAACATTTCGTCTACATATTGCTTGTTGCGAAGCAGCTATCACAATAGAAAACAATCAGCAAGAATTGTAATTAGAAAGGAGAAAAAGGAAAAGGAAAAAAGAACATTACATGTTCTACAAGTGGTGTATTAGTGGTAGCAGGAACAACACAATTGCTCCTTATGCCATCTTTGGCCCATTCACAAGCCAAATTTTTTGTAAGCTGATTGATTGCAGCTGAAAACAGAATTGGACAGTAAACATTCAGTTTCCTTGATCGACACAACATTTTACTACAAGCAAATTGAACAAGTATGGCTATACGATAAGTCCCACCTTTACTTGCTGCATAGACTGATCCAGTACCTAAGCTTACCACACCGGAAATAGATGAAATGAATACAATGCTTCCCGCTCCAGATGCCTTCAGAAGAGGATGTGTAAGTTGGCACAGATGATATGCAGAATCTAAATTAATTGCCATAATTTCTGAATATACTTCAGCAGTGTACTCAATGGTTGGTTTCCTAAAGTTTGCCCCAACATTGTTCACCTGTTAGAGGATCAAACATCATTACCCATGACAAAATAGACGGTATGAAACCTCTCTTAAATGTACTATAACTCACTGTGATGTTACGTTCTCTTTTTTGCCTGAGTGTTAAATAATATAATCTCTCACCGTCGAACAAGTGGACTCTCGTCCCTCTTGAGGACATACGATCACGCCCTGTCATATCTCTCACCGTCAATCTAATCACAAGGTGTCGGAACAAGCCAAACCGTTTAAACCGCTCATACTATATATAGATCAGATCGCTTCATTTCTGGTATTCAATTAATTGTCATTCTCACTCTGATACTACTTTTCACTCAATAATACCGGACTTGTCTACTCTACCAGAAGCTTGCTCCACCGCACCAAGACTCCATCACACTACTCCGTTACACATTTCTGGTTACATTGTAGAATTTAATCTCTTCAATGAAAGGGAATTAAGTAGCTAACTTACATAAATGTGAAGTTTGCCATTGAAGATTGAGGTGACTTGTTGAATAAGCTTCTCCCTTTGGTCTCGAGATGACACATCACACACAGATCCAGAAACCAAAAAGCCTTTACTACGCCATAGATTCAAACAGTTATCGAGCTCTGCTTGGTTTCTGGAACAAGTGTGGACGGTGGCACCAAACCCACACAAATCTTCCACTATGGCATGTCTGAAATTAAGCAAAATTAGAAACTTGGTAGCCACAATTCAAATGGGGAAGGATCAAACATTGAAAAAGGAACAAAGTTGAATGAGAAAAACTGACCCGATTCCACGAGTTCCACCGGTGACGAGAGCAGTCATTCCTTTGAGGGACCACCGTGAGGATCCATTGGAACTGCACTCTTCAGCTGCTGCCATTTCTATTTCTTTGTACTTTCTAGTTTCGCTCAAATGTATTTTTATCGTCCAGTTTTAATTAAAATTAACTTCTAGATATCTTATTTGTAAAGTAGATTTTTGTCCCTTTTTTTTTTTACAATTTTTTTTATTTTTTTCTTATTTAAATATTTATTCATGTTTTACTATCCTCGTCATTCACTGACATATTACTTTTCATCTAACAATTTCAATAGATATTGAATTTTGTATACAAAACAACAATGATATAAAAATTATGTTCTCTATATTCGGCTAATATCGTTCCTTAGGACCTAATCAAATCTGTAGATGCTATTTGTTCAAGTGTAATTCATCCCACAAGGTTTGATGAAATTGCATTGAGCATATTTGAGTCTAATGAAAAGTTAACAAGTTTGTCTTATTTATGATCTTATTTATATTTAATTGATATTTCTAATTAAGATTAATGTTGGAAATCTACCAAAACTCTATCATGAATTTCTACCACAATGATGATTAGTTATGAGAAAAACAAAGAAAAGAAGACAAGACAAATAATTTCTGCAGAATTTCTCTCTGCTCACGAAAATTTTATTATTCACTTTGCAACTCCAAAATACTGTGAATAGCTTGCTTGACTTGCTTACAAAAATAAGGGTTACTCCCTCTATTTATAACTGAGCTTACACCTTAAGCCCAAAGCCCAAAATATCTTTTTGTTACTAAATCAAATCTAATTTATTCTAGACTTAAATCAAATCTATTTAAATCTAAAACAAATCAAATTTTTTAGACACATAGTTTCGACACATTGGATTACAATTTAACACACCACCTAATTCATTGTGTCTAAACTATCTATGTTCATCATGACTCTTAACTTTCTGAATACTTCGACTTGCACTCCCTTCGTCATGATGTCTGCAATCTGATTCTCAGTTCTGCAGTGTTCCAAATTCATCTTCCCATCTGCTACCTGCTCTCGAAGATAATGGAACCTCATTTCGATGTGCTTACTTCGACCATGTGCTATTGGGTTCTTCGCCAGATTAATAGCTGACATGCTATCTATCTTCATGGTAATTGCTCCATGATTTTTCCCTGTTATCTCTTCGACCAAGTTCACCATCCAAGTTGCTTGACATGCACAAAGAGAAACAGCTATGTATTCTGCTTCGCATGATGATAATGTCACTACTGATTCCTTTCTTGAATTCCAAGTAACTGGTGCACCATCTAGCATAAACACATATCCTGCTGCTGACTTTCGATCTTCAGCATCACTACACCAACTCGAATCAGTGTATCCCACTAACTTGCATTCTTTTCCTTTATCAACTGCAGGAAACAAAATGCCATAATCGAAAGTTCCTTTGAGATACCTTAGTATCCTCTTCACTGCTGCTAGATGTGATACCTTTGGCTTCTGCATGAATCTACTTACCATACCTATACTATATGCTAAGTCAGGCCTTGTATGACAAAGGTATCTCAATGATCCAATAAGTCTTCTGTATTGGGTTGGATCAACATCATCTTCATCTGCATCTTTCGACAGTTGCAGTCTTGGTTCTGCAGGTGTCGAAGTTGATTTGCAGTCTTCCATCTCAAACCTCTTGAGAATTTTTCCTGCATATCTTCTTTGATGCATCATCAAACCTCTACTGCTCTTGTAGAATTCGATACCAAGGAAATATAAAATCTCACCCAAATCAGACATTTCGAATTCCTTGCTGAGATCACCTTTGAAGTCTTCGATCTCACTTTTACAATTACCTATTATCAACAAATCATCTACATAGAGACATAGTATAAGCAATTTACTCTTGCTTCTTCTTACATATACTACATGTTCAGTTGTGTACTTTACAAATTCCTTCTCCCTTAGAAAACTATCAATTTTCTTATTCCAAGCCCTTGGAGCTTGTTTCAATCCATACATGGCTTTATGTAGCTTGTACACCTTTCTTTCTTCGTCATGTTTCACAAACCCAACTGGTTGTTTAACATAGACTTCTTTATCTAAGGGTCCATTTAGGAATACACACTTCACGTCCATCTGACATATGTGCCAATTGTTTATTTCTGCTAGACCAACAACCAACCTGATTGTTTCGATCCTAGTAACAGGTGCAAAAACTTCATCGAAGTCTATTCCTTCTTTCTGTAGAAATCCTTTCGCCACAAGTCTTGCTTTGTGTCGAGTTACTTCACCTTTCGAATTCGTTTTCACTTTGTATACCCACTTGACATCAATTTCCTTCTTGCCTTGAGGCAATTCGATAAGTGACCAAGTGTTGTTGTCTTCGATAGACTTTACTTCTTCGTTTATTGCTTTCACCCACTTCGAATCCTTTAATGCTTCAGTTGCATTAACGAGTTCGACATCTGCATAGAAAGCATAATGTACCAGCTCACCTTCATTATCTATTACATCATCTGATGTAATCACACAATCTTGCAATCTTGCAGGCATGCGTCTTGTTCTTTGAGGCCTGCTTGTACTTGGTATATCTGCTGGTTCCTCTTGTCAAACTTCTCTTTCGACTTGAATTTCTGGCTCTTCAAGAAGGATTCCCACTGAATATTTCTTGATATTTTCAGTCCAATCCCATTATTTAAACTCATCTATGATCACGTCCCTGCTGATCACAATCTGCTTTTTCACAGGATCGAACAACTTGTAGCCTCCTGTCGAATGATATCCAACTAGAATCATTTGACTTGACTTATCATCAAGTTTTTTTCTCAACTGATCTGGCACGTGTCTATGTGCAATAGATCCAAATACCTTCAGATGACTCAAGCTAGGCTTCACACCAGACCAACATTCTTCTGGAGTAATTCCTTCTAGCTCTTTGTAGGACATCTGTTCAAAATGTATGTTACAGTCGAAACAACTTCACCCCAAAACTCTTTAGGTAAATTCTTGCCTTTCAACATACTTCTCACCATATTCATAATGGTTCGATTTTTCCTTTCTGCAATTCCATTTTGTTGTGTAGTATAGGGTGACACCACCTCATGCACAATCCCTTCCTTTCACATAATCTGTCGAAGTCTTTCGACACATATTCTCCACCACCATCAGTTCTCAAAACTTTGAGCTTTCGACCACTTTGTCTTTCGACCATAGACTTAAACTTGGTAAATACTTCGATCACTTCACTTTTCTTCTTGATCAGGTAAGTCCATAGCTTTCAACCGAAATCATCTATGAATATAACAAAGTATTTGTTACCTCCCATTGAATCCACCTGGATTGGTCCACATACATCAGAGTATATGACTTCAAGACTAGCCTTCGATCTACTTCCTGTATCCTTGCTGAAGCTATTCTTGTGTTGTTTCTCCTGCACGCATTCCTCACATACCTCGTTTGGAATGTCAATTTCTGGCAATCCCGAAACCATATTTCTTCTCTTCAAATCTCTGATGTCTCTGAAATTGAGATGGCCTAATCTGTAATGCCATATCCATTCATCTCTGCTAGCTGCATTCGAAAGGCACTTGTGCTCCATCACATTTAGTTCAATCTTGAAGGTTCAATTTTGAGACATAAGAGCCTTCAAGATTAATCTCCCATTTGCATCAATGACTCTCATCATCTTATCTTCGATTGACACTTTATAATTCTTTTCGACCAACTGCCCTATACTGAGCAAATTGATCTTCATGCCTGGTATGTACAACACATTGGAGATTACTGACCTTTTGCCATCTTTCCTCATGATCATAACATCACCAATATCTTCAGCTGCTAGGGTATTGTCATTTGCAAATTTTACCATATTTTTCATTGAGGGTTTTATATTGACAAACCAGTCTTTCCTTCCAGACATATGTGATGAACATCCTGAATCCAAGTACCATTGGTCCTTAAATCTATCTTCATCTCTTGTTGTGACCATCAGCATCATCTCTTCTTCTTCTTCTTCTTCATGTTTTGCAAGCTTTGCATCACTTTCTTGATTCTTTCGTTTTTCTGGACAATCACTCAAATAGTGACCATACTTCTGACAATTGTAATATTGAATGTGACTCTTATCAGGTTTTCGACCACCACCTCTTTCTCTATTTGCAACACCACCTCTTTGGTTGCCTTGGTATGGTCTTCTTTGATTCGACACGTCTCCTTCGATTTGGTTTCCTCTACCATTCGATTTGTTGTTGTAACACCCTCTAAAACCCCGCATATAATTTTCGCAAATATTAAAAATTATAAACTCAGAGTACATGTAATAATCGAGGAATGCTACAATTCTCTTTTAATAAAATAAATTCCTGTCATGCATAATTTTAGTGGTAACTCATACATGTCTACACAGCGGAATAATTTATTTAATAAAATCAAATGTTATAATATTTTCCAAAATCATCAGGGATTAACACCTGGAAAAGTCAACGTCATATTATAACAATTAAAAGAAATAAACGAGTCTGACTAAAGCAGCTCGACAACTAAACGTTCCCGGAGTTACAACTATCAGAGCATGACCCGGACATACTAAAACGAAACTAAACTAGACACGATAAGCCTTCGCCAAGCACCTGAGCGAAGCTCCTCAATCTGAAATATGCAACAGTAAGGGTGAGCTTCTCAAATATACATTTGGTTATACATTCATAACAATCAATTCACGAAAATCATAAGCATCACCCAATAATTAGCATATTTCATAGTTTACAAAACCTTTACAATTCATATATCCATGACATATTGCCTTTCATATTTGCAAATATTCATCAAACATCATCAACCATTTATCAGTCATACGTGCATACAAACAATCAAATATAACATTGGAAAAATCATCCATTCATGTTATATTCGAGTAATGCAACACACCCATGCATGTGGTACCACTTCACCGCCCCATTAAATCGCGGGTCACGGATAACTCACCGTTCCATTATATCGCGGACACGGCTACCACCTCAACGTTCCATTATATCGCGGACACGTATATTGGCCACCATGTTAATTCCACACAATGGGAATTAACAAATGCAACATG